CTTGGATGTATCAAAAGTTGGGCCAAATTGGACTAGTTCATCTGGTAATTTTCGGATGTCATAGAATTTCACCCAAGGGGAGACCCTTGGATTTTTTTGAATTTTTTTTTTTCTTGTTATCATAGAACGGATTTTTGATTTGTTTTAACACGATTTTATCATATTAATCCGTGTTAAATGATTTATAACACGATGGCCGACCATGATTGACTTTAAAAAAAAAAAAAATTGAATACTTGTGCGGAAAAGTCCGTTTTACGCTCGTAAAACTTTTTATTTTGAACTGTTTTTAGATGAATCGTCTACAAGTTCAGAAGCATCTCGTGATTTTCAACATTTGTCTTTCTCTGGAATTTTAAACAAAGAGACAGCGACAACTTCAACAATAAACAAAGATTTGCCTATCTCTCGCCAAAGTTCTGGTGAATCACCAGCAATATTGGTCGGACCGGAACCAGAAGAAAATCGATCCAATTTGATGAAAGCGCGAAGAAATCACGGAATGAAGATATTGAAGATTTTAGTTTGTTCAAAGAAAATTTGATGATGCAACAAGAAAATCATAAGATGATTTGCTTGTTTTAAATAAAGAAAAAAATCAAATTTCAATTGAAAAAAGTAAAATCGAATTGGAAAAATCAAAGTTAGAACTTGAAACTGCTCGTGAGTTGGCTAAAATTGAAATTGAAAAACAAAAGCGTTTGGCTGAGTTAGAAATAGCTGCCAAATTAAAAACAACTTGAAAAAAGTAATATTGATTAAACAGTGATATCATCACAGCTGTTTACAAATCATTTGTTTCCAACGAAATGAAAAAAAAAAGTTTATATTTTCAAATAACCACCACAATGAATATATTGCAGAAATATTTTTGCTTTAGAAATTTTGTCGAATAAATGGAAATTAATTGATTTCAATGAAAGTAGCTATTTATAAGGAAATTTTGAATTCTGAATTCTTGTCGTCTTTGCACATTGCGCCCTGCAAGCATTACATGTTCACCAATCGTAATTTGGTTATAAATTTCCTCTTCGCTGTATTCGTGTATATACGGGCGTCTAACTTCATATACGGATTTTTCCAGTAGTTGTGAATCGAGTAGACATATAACGATTTCAACTATTTTTGGGCGAAATTATCTCGAAAATATACAAAAATGAGTTATTTGTTATGCGAATGCTCAAACGGCTACCGGAAATGTACGCGCAAATACACGCACTCGAGTGTATTTGTCATCTAGTAACCATTGCATGTCTACTGAATCAGTGCGTACATTAACAGTAGTCGTTTGAGCGTTCGCATGACAAATAACTCATTTTAGCATACTTTTGAGATGATTTCGCCCAAAAATAGTTGAAACCGCAACTCAATAGAACACAACTGCTGGGAAAATCCGTAGATGGAGTTAGACGTTTCAAATACGTCATGTTCTCGGTATGGTTTTAGCAAACATTTTTCGTATGTTGTGTAATACACAACAGCTAACAACGACATCTTGTGCTGTTTCTTTTTTGTGGAATCTCATTCCTGTTGAAAAGAAAATTCCAATAAATCGATCAATATCATGGCAGGTATTCAATTCATTCCTCCATACCATATTTTAATATTGGGTATTCTTTTTTTAGTTGTCCATTTAATCTCTCAGCAACATTTCTTGCTTTGATTTGTCTATTGTTATACACTGTTTCATTCAATGTTTCGGGCTCATTCAATGGTTTACATGCAAATTTTTCCGGCGGATAGGCCGAATCGACAACGATTACAGAATCGTGGCCAAATTCTCTTTGTCTCAACCGATCGCATAAATTTGAATTCGTGAAAATGGTTGAGTCGTGGGCCGAGCCAGGCCATCGAGACACAACACCAACAATTCGTTCCTATAGTTTTCAAAAGGGGCATCAACGCAGAAGATTAATTATAAAAACAGAGAGAAAGAGAGAGAGAGAGCAAAATATTGTCAATGAAAAATTTCAGAAAAATCGATTGAGCAATTAAAAAAAAAGAAATTTACATCTGCTGATACAGCTAGCTGAACGTTAAGGGAAAAGGTTGTTTTTCTATTCCTATAGAGTTCTGCATCTTCAACGCCGAACGAATTTATGAGCACATGTGTTCCATCGACCGCAGCGATGCACAAAGGAAAGTCGGCTAATCGCATAAAACCGACTTTTGCATCAAGTATTTCTTCTTCTGTCGACGGCATGAATACGTTATGTTCTCTCAGTTTATCTGATATTAAGAACGACACTTCCTCGATAATGAATTCAACCGTTGTTCTGCTTATTCCGAACAAATCACCAATCATTTCATAGTGCGCAGCAGTTGCGTAAAATCGTAGTGCGATTACCAATTTTACGATTCCATCGATAGTAAACGGCGAACGTGGAGCCTAGAAAATATCAATTTACCTTACAATTTTTTCACGAGATCAATTCTAAAAAAAAAAACTGGATTTTTTTCACAATTGATTTTTGTTTCCAGTTGATTCTGTTGTATGTGCTGCTTGTTTGCCATTTAGGCGATACCGTTGGCTCTCCTTCACATATTACAAAAGTACTGTGATCGGTATTTTTGCTGACAACAATATTCTTTCGAAATAAGAATATTATTCTATAGACATTTCTGGCTCCAAATGATATGTTTATGTTTTGTTGGCATTTTTGTTTTATGTTTATTCCAAACGATATTTCTAGGGGGAAAGATCAATTTTTTTCCTCTGAATAAGCCTCAATATAACAAATAATGATAATTTGTAACGATTCTATGATCTTTTACAAATATTTAACCGATATTTGAATATTTCGCCGATATACCAATATTTCGTACTAAAATTGGTAGAGATATTTAGGTGAAGCGCACTTAAGCTTGTTTTGTTTTGGTTTTTTCTTTTCACTTCAAATGGAAACTACATTA